TTAACATTGACTTCAGAAAGTTCTTAGAATTCATTATGTAGAGTCCATCTCGAAAAATCACACATAATTGTGGAAAAATACATATATTCCAAGATCATCATATGAGTATGTTTCAGGCGAGGGAATGCTGTTTCACAAACCTAATGGTATCATATTCATTCAAAAAGAAATGTGAATCTAATTACAGAAATATTTTCTGTTCGTTTTTCAGCAACTGTCTCCGACAAGCAGCCCAGCTATAAAAACGTCTTAACCAGGAATAGTCCTGTGTTTTCGAGGCCAGGTGGTGGGGGACTCTCTTACTATTTCATGGCGATTCAGATAATGGCGTCAACTGGTGCCTCTTACACATTGGTGTGCGACAGTCGTATGGATACTTACGGATATTTATATACTTTGCCATTCATTTCAAGCAGTCCACAATCGAATCTAGTAGTAGCCGAAGATGACGGTGGCTCTCAAAACAATTTTCAGATAACAGCGACTTTTACGGTGACTCAATCCATGATCCTCGTTGTTACAACATACCATCCGGACGACGTAGGAGAATTCAATATTTCAATTCACGGTCCCGCACAATTAAGCTTAACACCGTATATTTCCACGTCAAATATCGGAACGAACACCAATGAAGCAACCAGTGTAGACACTATTGCAACAACTACTACAACTTCTACAACTACTACAACTGCTACTACTGCAACTTCTACAACTACTACAACACTCATAATTACAACAGCAACTACAGTAACCACCAAACTACCTACTACAGTAACCACCAAACTACCTACTACAGTAACCACCAAACGACCTACTACAAAAAGCACTAGAAGAACTAGTACAAAAGCTACTAGAAGAACTACGAATAACCCCACTAGACCAACTATTACAACGCCAACTACAGTCACAGGTAGGTAAAACTGAGTACCAGTTTGGATGATTTATGAGTTCTTTTTACGGAAGGCTGATAATTTTTAAAACATATTTATGAAAAGAAATACATGAAACATAATGAAAACTACGAAAATAGCTATAGATATGAAGCGAGCATCTTCTTTTTTTTGCGATGCTATTCGACCCTCCATCTAGTTGCTCAAGTGAACATTCAATTATAGACCAAGATGAACGCGCTAATGTTAACCAAAAAATACTCTGGTAAATTATGTTTATTTGTCGGGTAAAATGGATCAAGAAAGTTCGTTACATTTTTAGTGTTAAGGCAATGTATTCGTTCATAAATAATTACTGGAGATATTAGTTTTTGTCGCTAAGTAAAGTTTTAGAGACTACAGTTTGGCATCAGGCACTCTTTTCGATAATTCTTAACAGAATAATGAGACGTAGCTTTGTTTTCCTACTCCAATCATTTGATGAGAAAGAGCATTCAAAATGCAGAATTTTGATAAAACTTCCAGATGTTTTCAATTTTAACCAGTCACAGCGCTCATTGCGTTTCACAGTATTAAAGGTGAAAAAGAACATTATTAGATTTGGTAAAAAACCAATGTGTTTTGAGGGCAAAACATTCTCGTTCAAAAGATACGTGCCTCAATCTTAATATGTTTCTCTTTTCAAATATGACAACCCTTTAAAACTATGAATTACAAAACCAGAGAAATGGCAGGAAAATATGGTTTATTGAAGTTACTTTTCACCATGTAAGGTTCTAAAACAGTCACACAGAACACATCCCTCAAAGAATAGCAACCTGATGCTGTATAGAAGAATTTCTATTCTTTAAAACAAGTTGTCTTCTCCAAATATAAAGTTTCGTTTCGTATCTTATATTTGAAAGTTAGCCGAGTATTTGACAATAGAGAACGATTCATTGAAATAATGAAGGAAAAACTACTGTTGATGCATTTCAAATTTATTGATTAAACCATAGATTTTCATGAATCCAATTTCATCATTTCGAATTATATCTAAATTAATTTGACGTGCTCTGTTTCGATATTTTCCTTGTAACCCATGAATTTGAAATACATGACAATGAGTGTATGTTTCTTCATTCGAAATGCGATTTTTTTCGTGCTGTCATTGTTGAAGTCTACAAGAGTAATAATTATGAGAACGAGTTAAAATTGAAAAAGCCTTAAAAAAATTGCTAAACTTATCTATCTCGAACCGAATGACACATAAATATCGTTCTGTTGTGTATCAAAATAAGCAGTACATTTGTTAAATGTTATTACCAAAGGTTAATAATGGAATGATCAATCAGCATGGGACCTATCTCGAATGATATAAGCATCTTTTTTCATTGTGTAGCGACTACGTATGGTATCCAGTCAAGCTATTCAGGCGCCTTGACCAAGAAAGACTCTTCGTTTATGCGCCCAAAACAAGGAGAATACGGTTTCTACTTCTTGGCAATTAAATTAAAGACTTCAAGTAGCGGCATTTATACGCTTGTATGCGAAAGTGGTATCGATACTTATGGATGTCTCTATAATGAATCATTTCTTCCAAGCAGTCCAAATTCGAAATTAATAGCGACAGATGATGACAGTGGTTCAAAAAAGAATTTTAAGCTGATAGCAAATTTGACAACAACTGAGTCTATGATTCTCGTTGTTACCACATACAACGCTGAACAAACTGGAGCATTTAAAGTTATAGTCTACGGTCCAGAAAAAGCAATTTTAACTCCGTACGTCACAATACCACTTACTACAACAAGCACCTCTACAACAACAAGCACTTCTACTACAGCAACCACCTCTACTACAACAACCACCTCTACAACAACGCGCACCACTAGATCCAGAATTGGAGGTAGGTGAAACTAAACCGCTAGATTTTATAATCAATAGTATAATCAGCTAAGTGTGATTTTTCTCAGGTAGCATTCTACATGGAAACGAAGAAAATATGAAGTAAAATCACTTCCACGAGTTCAAATTCTCGGATAACTCATTTTCGAACTTCCAGCGAACAGCAATAATTCAGCTCAAATTGCTATTAATGCAAAGAGGATACATTTCGTTTCTTTTTTTTTAGAAGTCTCCTCGAGCGAATATGTAGCTACCCAAGCGATAAGTTCAATCTATATGCGCCCGAACAGTTTAATAAGTTGCTTTCATGTGTGGAATTTCATGTTTTAGTCTCATCAATGTGTTCTCACGGTAACTTCAGTATGATGCTGAAAAAGACTGCATACTAATCACCTGTAGATTAAGGTGTGATGGATAAAGTATTCATAGGAAAGAAGATATAAATTATTCTTCATTCTCTTGTGTTTAATTGACAAAACAATCAACTGTTTTCTCATATTGAGTTGATGTTACTTGTAATCTGAAATCCACAAATAGGTGAAGGAAGTTTTTGCGCACGTTTTGTTTCATTCACGGAAAATTCTATCGTCAAATAATAAGAACACATACAAGTCTTTCTTTTCAATCGCATAAGTAGATAAAAATGACTTTGAAATGTTTCAGTGTCAAACTCAAAGATCTATCGGTAATTTAAAAAATAGAATGTGTCTAACAAACTTTGAAAATCTTCTTATCACTTGAGTCTTATTTTCTGACGTGAGAAGCTGATATGTGAAACAAAACCTGAGTGCGAATGCATGAACTGCCAATGAGTAGATCCGTACTAGCACGTAGATGATAAAATGGTCATTCTTCGGTGATTTAAGCAAAATACATATCTAATGAATGAAACCTCTCTTAGTGTATCTATAGATGTGATAGGAATTAAGAGTCAACATATAACAATAACAAAGAAATTATTCTTTTATGGAACAAGATTTGAAAAAGATTGATTTGAAATTACCGTCCGACAAAACAAATTACTTTATCATGCAGTTATTGTTCAAGATAAGTATCTTGAGAACAGTAGTGAAAAATATCTACCAGTTGATTCTTTTTCACTAGCTATGGAGTTAGGTGATTATCAATAAGAAGTTAAGCAAGCCTCTTCGTACATATAGATGCGCATGGATAAAATTCTCTTACGTTAGTGATGAATTTTCACGACAACCAAAAAGATGAACTTCTAACCCTTGTTATAACTTTATAATGTTATCAACGTAGGGTGACCTTGAGATTTCACCTTTTTTTTCGAGATTTGTATCATATTTCGTATTTGTGTGAATGAAAGAAATACGTTTGTCTTTTTCTCTCTCTAAGTGACAGGATAAAATATTAATTTATGATGTCCCATATAGTATACTTGTTGCAAGTGTATCAAACCCTACATAATAACATGCTCCAATTTTGTTTTTCTAAGCAACACAGTATCAACATCTATCAATGGGCCTCCATAACCATGCAGCTATTCAACGGACTGTCACTTCGTAAGGATAATACTGTCACACCTCTAGACAATTTTATTGTTTTTCTCCTTCAATTGAGATATCATTTTATAGAATCGCTCGAACAGAATCGTTACAGTTTTTCTATTCGTTTCTCTATAACGTTTATTTAGTAAGAATCTTTCAGTAGAATTTTCCCTATATACCTACTAAATTATTAGTAAAGATTTCTCGAGAGTAGCTCTTTTCTAAAACCGCCAATTCAGACTGAGAGATTTCATTTGTTTTACGTTTTCATGTAGCTAAAATTCTAGCAGTGTGGTTTAAAACTGAGTCAATTGCAACTATTTAACTTTGATTAAATTTTTGCGTCTCTAGTTCAATTACACAAAGTCTCAATACTAATTCTTTCGGTCTATCTAAATGATTAAATCAAAGTAGTTTTACTTGATTGCACTCTTTTTATTTAAAAAATCCGTATTTTTATATTATTCTTGAGGGTGTCTGGGTGTGGATGTCGAGAACATCAACACCCGCACCCTTGAAATTAAAACAAGTGTTCTTTCTAGCAGTGCTAGATGTTTTTCAGTTAGTGTTGCCAGAAGAAGAATATTTAATAATGGGATATCAACAATAACCCAACACTAAAGCTGATGAAGAAATAGTTTGCCAAAAACTTTTCTGATCTATTATAATTTTCCTCAGAAAAATAAGCAAGAAAAGAAATTATTTGAATTAAATTTTCATTAGAAAATACTTCATTAATCATATCTGTAAGTCTGATTCAAAAATAAGTAGTAGCTAAATATTGAGCAATTTTTGCGTACATGTACAATATAGTTGATCTAGAAACAAATTGATATTCGTGTGCTGTTACATTTCGATTTACTTCGGATTCCAACATATGAACATCAAGAAAACTAAATATAGTACGTAATTGTTATGTGTACCTTTTCTCTCTCGCTAGTATATAAGCTCACGATATATTAGGGGGGAATATGGCAGTACTATAAGTCAGAGAGTAGTTAAAATTTAAGTTGTTCGAAGAAATAGTTTATTAGAATATAAATAGTGTTAGACTTGACTTGTATTGAGAAACATACGCACATATTATTAGCAGCACAATCTTGCTATCTTGTTTATTGTAAACTCATTATTAAATAAATTATTATAACTTGGTATTGATCAAAGATTCTTGCTTGTTTTTAAATAATAATAAAAATATTTATTTTACATTTCGATGAGTTCGGCAAATTATTTATGCCAATAAAATGATTAGAAAATCGATTCAATTTTCATTACTATTCTTGGTTGCACTACTTACAAGAGTTTCGATTAATTATCGCGCGATACACCCACACCCTCGTTCTTTGGACCACTTATTGACTATAGAAAAATAAGACAACTTTTAATTCTCTGTTAACTGCTTCAATGCATTGCTAGAAGGTTGAGTTTACATATACCATTTTCAGAATCAGAATTTATACTGTGCTACGTGTTTGCGATTGAATCATTTTTGTATAGAATTACATATAATATT